GTGGGCTACTTTCATCATACTTTTAATATATATATAATTTAGTATTATATATTATATTTTGAGCTTTATTTATGTACATACGCGTTGACGAGGTTTATATTAATGATATGATATATTATAATGTATATCATATATCGATAGACTTGATTTTATGGGGTTGTTGGAAGTCTGGTTCGAAACATTCTCGGCTCCTTACTCTATATCAATTTTTCAATCCTTTCATCTTACTTTTTACTTATTATTTTACCTTAAATTACTATTAAGACTTTTTTTTCAATAAATATTTTAAATAGATTATTTTCCATAATAATTCTATATAAACATTCTTATTTATTTATTGCATTATATTTATTTAAACTCTTCAAATTTTTCCTTTTTTTTTTTCACTCTTTCTTCCAAATGTACTATTGTAAAAAAAATTTTTAATACTATCATCATTTCTATTAATATATACAATCTTATCAATCATCACTTTATTTTACATATTTGCTTAATTTCGACTCTATTGTGTCAGCTTAAAACCTCAAACAGTCACTATTTTACCTCACTTAACCCTATTATACTCCATATTTTTAACTCATATTTTTTCATTTTAAATGTATATGTATACACCATTAACTAATAACTAACCAACAATTTCTAAACTATTCCGTTTCATATATCTGAAACTATTCTATCTATTCATTTTTATCAACATAACTTTTATTTAAAATTGTCAATCTTTCCTCAACTCCAACCATCCTACATCTCAAATCCATTAACTTCACTTTATATAATCATTATATCTTTTTCCCTTCCTATTTTCTTCCATCTCTTCCCACTTCATATTCTTATGATTTTTTATTTTTTCTTTTATATTTTTGTTATTTAATCTCTTCTCATGTTTAAACATTCTCAATCTCTTTCCATCTTTTCTTTCTTTCATATGCTACTTCTTTAATTCGTCATTTACTTCTTCTATTCACTTTTCACTATTTATGTTCTTACGCCCAATCATTCTTGCCCTAATCAGTTTACTAATTTTATCCGCACTTTATTTTACCTTCATTAATCTTCTTTACTCTGCTGTACCGAACTCATCTACTTCATTCATACAGATCGTAATTCCTTAGAAAGCGTAAAAAGCTTATCATAATCTTTACTCTCATAATTCATAACCCTCTTCCTTCCTCTCAGTAATAAGCATGAATGAATATTTATGTTAGGTTCAATATTCTATAGTTTTGAATAGTGTATGTGAAATCCGAATATGAAAATATTTGATATTTTCTGAGGTCATCTAATGAGGTTGTTCCATCAGTAAGATGCATGATCACTGGCTGCATGATTTTCTTCACCGCCCGCGCAGCCGAAAGTGTGTGTGTGTGTGGTGTGTGTGTGTGTGTGGTGATGGTGTGTTGTAGTGTGTGTGTGTGTTGGCGTGCGGGGCGGGTGGAGGCGGGCGGGTGTGTGTGTGTGTGCGTGCGTGTGTGCGTGCGTGCGTGCGGTGGCGGTGGCCCGTGCGCGCGTGCGTGCGTGAGTCTATTGGGTGTGTATACTGTTTGTGTGTGTGTGTGTGGGTGGTGTTCGTGCGTGCGTGCGTGCGTGCGTGCGTGCGTGCGTGTCAATATGAGTGTGTATATATATAGTTATATACTATATATGTGTGTGTGTGTGTGGAGTTGCGCGCCGGCGCGTGTGTGTGTGTGTGTGTATAGTGTGTGCGTGCGTGCGTGGCGTGCGTGCGTGCGTGGCGTGCGCGCGCGCGGCGAGCGTGTGTGTGTATAAAAATATATCAAAACAGTGGTGTTTCATATAACAGATGTAGTGTGGCGCGAAGAGTGATTTTGCCTGCACCAATGGAGTTTCATGGCGGGGGTATGTAAACAAATAATTACCAATGACGTATTTTTGGTGTAAGCGAATCGCATGGCAAATAGCATCAGGAAAGTGTATAATATCAAGAACCTCATGAATAGGAGATAATATGAGCTTCTTGATAATCATAGGATCTATACAATATAGAATCTGTATCTGATTACACACTCCTGGGTCATGGTGCCATAGTGATGAGTATAACGCACCACATTCGATTGGGTTATCATGGTGGTGTGTTAACTTGTTACTTATGATGCTTGCGCCAGCGGTGCCGGCAGCAGCTGGATATTGCCACGGCTCGTGCTCGTTTTATGGATGCACCCGTCGAAATGTGTAAGTGCCCCACATGAATGAGCTGACGGCCAACGACTTGCCGATCATCTCACAGCAATGGCAACTTATTCCTACTAGGTTAGTTAATCTTGGTAGAATGGGGTTGGGGTCCATTTCGGGAGCGAAGCCCCGTTATTACCCGCAAGAGCTCTGCCTACGCACCTAAGAGATCTTGAGGCTTTCAGAAACCGACACTGCCAGGCCCTCTATGTGCTGCGTGTGGCTAGGCTCGAGTGTAGTGTACGTCGGACCGCCGAGAAGAAGAAAGCCAAGACGCAAGTGCAACAACATTTCTGTAAATCAATTTGTCCAGCCCAGCAGTATAAGTACTATGTTGCTGGATTAAGTACTCTATATATATACTCGTTTGCCTGTTATACGCTCGTAATATCGCTGGGGATCGAAGCCAGATGCGATGACGGCATGCACGTGGCCTCTAGCGCCGAGTAGCAACGAGAGCGCAGCTACACCGCAACTGGCAAGCAACTTTTTTGTTAATTTAATTAGGGAAATGTTGCGCGGGGAGCCGGCAGATAGGGCTGGATCAGGATCTACTGCCTCGCAGCGATGGACGCATCCCCGGCGCCGTCCAGTCACGTGTGCGGACACCCCGCAGGCGTCCACCGAGTACGCCCGCGGTGCTTCAAGAGCAGGATACTTGCTATCATTACGCCCCTCGGGCATGTTAACGTTACTACTGACTACTACTACTAACTTACTACTACTCACTGGATGACTAGCTGGACTCAACTATACTCACTCACTACTACTACTCGGCTGGACTAGCTACTGGACTGCACGCGAACGCACCCACCACGCCGCCGCGGGCGCCCATCACCCCGACTACCACCGACCGCTGCAGGCACCACCACACCACAGCCCACCGCCCGCCCGGACGACCACTACTAACTACTAGCTACTTAATAATAATAATTAAGCTATATATTGCCATCTATGTTTATCGCGATGGTAGTGAGTAGCAGCGAGCAAGTAGTATGGGGAGTACGCAGGCACAGAATAGGTACGTGAAGTAGTAGTCAGTAAGTGAGTGTCTTCGTAAGTAGTAAATTACACTTTTAGTCCACCCGAGGTAGAGTGTGGCATGGGACGACCCATGTATTGTAACGGTATATCTGCCTCAGGGCACGAAGGTGTTCTCGCGGGCTGTAGTTAAGGTAGAAAAATCTAACGAGGTGCGCAACCCAAAACACCACTCACACGGGTGAATCCACCGTAGAATGAGGGGCAGGTGGGAAGGGGGAGGCTCGTAGCGGTCGATGCATACAATTCTGGATGCGTAAGCCAACAGTACGGGTGAGTTCGGCTGGGCCAGCTGAGCCTCGATTGGTACCCGGACCACGCGATGAGGGCGAGGGCAAGCTCGTACCAGTGAGCGCGGCAGGATCGTGATGTCCCAGATGCATGCAACATCACGATAGCTGAAAGGACGATTATTCTGGCGATCATTATCGGGGAGGATGAATATAATAAGTGCGTACTATATAATAATAATGATAATATAATATATATATATACAGTATATTTTGAATATAGATACTACAGTTAAATCCACAGGGCGGGTTGTGGCGGGGCGTGGGGAGGCCGGGGGGGGGGGGGGGTACGGAGGTTGGCCGGGGGGGGCAGTGGAAAAATGTATCATTTACTACTAACGAAGACACTACTTACTAACTACTACTTACTAACATTCTTGCTGCTACTACTACTGCTGCTGCTACTAACTACCTAATAAAATAATAAATAAATAATATGGTAAGTTAATTATTATTAGTAGTAGTAGTCAGTAGTGGTGGTGGTGGTGGAGCTGGTGGTGTGGGGTAGGTTGGGGTGAAGTGGGGTGGTGGTGGTTAGTAGTAGTATAAGCAGTAGTAGTAGTAATATAGTAGTATAGTAGTAGTAGTCAGTAGTAGTAAGTAAGTATACAGTAGTAGTAGTAACGGTTTAAACATGCGTAAATCGGATAGCAGTGAAGCCTGCTTTGAAGCACGCTAATCGGGTACGGCCTGCGGTGTCCCGCCACAGCGTATGGACGGGCCGGATGCGTCCATGCGCGAGGCAGTAGATCGCCTGATCCAGCCCATTCTTGCCGCTTCACGCGCAAGCATCCCTAAAATTAATTAACAAAAATTGCTGCCAGTTGCGTGTACTGGCTCTCGTTGCACTCGCCTACGCACGGCAGTGCCGAAGTCATGTGCTTCGATCCCAGCGATATAGATATAACAAGCAAACAGTAAAAATAGATACTGTAATCTCAGCCACGACAAATATGTACTATACTGCTGGCTGACAAATTACAGAAATGTTTGCACTTGCGTCTTTTTCTTCTTCTCGGGTCACTACACTACACTCGACCTAGCCACCGCAGCACATAGGGCCTGGCACGGTGGTTGAAAGCCTCAAGATCTCTAGGTCTACAGAGCTCTGGTAATAAGGGGGCATTCCTCCGAAATGACCCCAACCCCATTCACCAAATTAATAACCAGTAACTAATGTACCATTGGTGAATGATCGCAAGTCGTTGGCCGTAGCATCATCATGGCCATACACATTCGATGCATCCATAAACGACGTGGCAATATCCAGCTGCTGCCGGACCGCTGAAGCACAAGTAACAACACACCACATGACTAACCAATCGAATGTGCGTGCGTTATACTATCACTGGCACCATGCCACCAGGAGTGTGTAATACAGATACAGATTCTATATTATAGATCTATATTATCAAGAGCTCATATTATCTCTATTATGAGCTCTTGATATTATACACTCCTGATGCTATGCCATGCGATTCGCTACACCAAAAATACGTCATTGGAATATGTTACATACCCGATGAAATCCATTGGCTGCAGGCAAAATCATTTCGCGCTCACACTACATCTTTATATATGAAAAGCCGACTGTTAAATATGGTGATAATAGTTTAACACACACTTCACGGCACCGCATGCCGCGCGCGCGCGCCGCACGCACGCACTCGCACGCACGCACCAGCGCACGCAACACACATACACACACACACATCAGCACCGCCGCGCGCGCGGACACACACACACACACACATATAGTATATATATATATATATAATACACACCAATAGACACGCACGCTCACGCCGCAACGCACAGCACGCACGCACGCACACACAGCCACACACACACACACACTATATAGCACACCCAATAGACACGCACCGCACGCGCGCACGCACGCACGGCACGACACACGCACGCAACACACACACACGCGGCCGCACGCACACCACACAACACACATCACAGACACACAACACGACACCACGGCGCACACCACACACACACACGTGTGGTGCGGGCGGGTGAGAATAATCATGCAGCCAGTGATCAGATCTTCTGAGACAACTATTAGATGCAGAAAATCATCAAATATTTCCATATTCGGATTTTCACATACAACTATTCAACTATAGAATATTGAAAACCTAACATCATATTCCATTCATGTTATACTGAGAGGAAGGACGAGGGTTGTGACTATGCGGACCGATATGATACGTTTCGTGCTTACGATCTGTCTGACTGCAGTCGATGGTTGGTACCGAGCGTACGAAGTTCATGCAGTAACCTACAGGATACACTTCGTCACCTGCTTCGGCGATGATGGGTAAGCAATCCTCGTGCACCGCTGACTCGCAGCAGTCCAGCGCCTCCAGCGTCGCCTCTGCAGCAAGCAAGATGGCAGCGATGAGAATGTTTAAAACCTGCGCAGCGCTACCTCCCATCTCCAGCCCCTCCCCATCTAAAGCATATGCGTGAGAAGAGGCCTGGAGCCTCGACGGGGCACAGCTCTACTGCATTACCCGACGTGGATTTGATTTGTTGGTTGGAAGATGCCATTTCACATAACAGTTATGTTGATAAAATGCTAGACATAGTTAGCAATGAACGACTAGTTTCGACTTGTGGTAGTCTTCGTCAGGTTCTACTAACCTTTTACAACTGAAACAAAATCTGAGTAACCCATCTGGAGTATACTCGGGTTACGTGTGGTCCGTGCGTGAGGTTCGTGCGTGATTGATAGATTGATTCATCGACTGATTGATCGATTCAAACTTTTTAAATCGTCATTGGCGACAGAGTGCCCGCCACAGCTAGGCACTTGAAGCGTTTCAATAAAATATAATGCTAACTAAATACGAATGTTTCTATAGCCTATAGTGCCTACTCTCTTTCAACCTATTATTGGCCAACAGTTTCGTGTAAATTCCGTCCAAATCCTAACGTCGCAACGTAACGCTGGGCCGGATATGCCCTGCTCGTCGCGGCGCCGACTGTTTGCCACGCTTTACACTAATATATATAGCTATATATAATATATAATATAACGCACTATAACGTACGTTATAACGTATAATATATAATATAACTATATATATTAACAGTCACTGTGCACAGTGAGCAATGGCGGCGTTAGTGTGTGTGCATATGAGCCATTTACACGGAATTAGAGCCGGCAGGAAAACTGTCGGCAATAATAGGTGAAACTGAAAGAGAGTATAGAACATTGGTGCGTGCGTGAGTGTGTGTGTGCGTGCGTGCGTGCGTGCGTGCGTGCTTGCTTGCGTGCGTGCGTGTGTGTGTGTGTGTATGTGTATTTATATATTATGTACACTAACAATCTTATAGAATTTTTATTATTATTGTTATTTATATATATTATGTTTTTTCAGCCATGTGGACGATATTGATTTATTTCCTGGTGGCATGTCGGAAAATACTGTAAGGAACGGGCTTATAGGGCCTACTTTTGCCTGCATCATTGGGAGGCAGTTTATGGATCTGAAAAAAGGAGATAGATTTTGGTATGAGAACGGTGGACCAACTAGTTTAACAGAAGGTAAAAGCACAAGATTATTGGTACATCTAAAATGCTACTAATCTAGATAGCATAATGACATGAATATAAGCCATAATTATTTCTCGAAAATACGACCACGGTAGGTAATGTTTCTGTTTGATTATCGAATTTTAGCATACGTATCCCGCATTACGCGTTGCTATGACAGAAGACGTGTTTATTAGAGAGACGTCATCTTCAGTTGAAGTTGTAGTCTTACGTCCACTATTTGTGGCAACTCGCTCCGTTTTGCTCAAATTTTCTCTATTTTAACACATCCAGAACAGGTAGATGAGATCAGAGCTCAGACAAGTCTGCCACGTATTATCGCGGACACCAGCCCCACCATCAGCGCAATGCAAGCAAATATCTTCAGTCGGATTTCAACGTTAGTGACAGTTAATCCGTTATTGCAGATCGCATTCAATGATAACCGCGCAAAGATGTGTACTTATGAACAATATATGTATAATGAATGTAACCTGTAATATAAGAAATATAACCTGTAATATAAGGGATATAATTTGTAATATAAAGAATATAACATGCAATATAAAGATTGTAACCTGCAATATAGGAAGTGTATATGTAACATAAGACAACAAGCGGAGGTGATTCAAAAGACTTTGCAAGCGTTATTATTCGGGCATCTTAAACGAGCGTATAACTGAGACACCCGTAGAACATAAGACGGTAATTTACATGCCAATTTTATCTTCTATTTGCAGTCAGAACCTCATCGGCGACTCATCAAATCTTCCCGTAATGGATCTACGTGTATTCGGTACAGCGCCTTTTAATCAGATACCTCCTCAGCTTAGGATTTTATTGAATCGAATTGTGGAAATATTTCGAATTCCTTTTAGAAATCTTTTCATGGCGAATGCAAATGTCAGCACAGGCCCACTACGTCGAATTACGAATTTTATAAGAAGGTTGCCTGACAACCTCATGCGTAGAATATTTGCGTAACGATTGCAAGAGAGTTAAAAGTCTGTGCTGAATCACAACAGTGTATTAGTCTAAAGAATCTCTTATAAGAGGCGCGTGCACGCACGCACGAACACACACATGCACGCACACACACACAGACACACCTACACCCACACACATACACACGCCACACACAAACACACACAAACACACACAACCACACACACACGCACACACACACACACACACACACACACACACACACACACACACACACACTACACACTACTACACACTACTACTACACACACACACTCACACACACACACACAC